GTTCATTAGCTGTCTTCTTGCTTCCCAGTATCTCTGGTTTGCCGTCGTTGTCTTAAGGTCATGACACCGAATCAAGTGGGTCTTCTCTATTTCCTCACGTAGGTTACATAGGGGTGGGTCTTCTCCGTTTCCTCCTGTAGGTCACATAGAGGCATGTGGGTTGAGCGTATACTCCCAATCTGTGAAGGTGTGAGGGGGATTCATAAAAACATGTCTTTTCAAAAATTTTTGGATTTGTATTTATGCTGCATCACTGCATTACTGGCATTCCTTGTGCTATTAACTTACTCCAGAAACCTCAGCTCACGACCACTCTTAAACTTATATATGCAATGTACACCAAGAATCGATTTTTCTTATTTGCAATACTACTTATTAATCCGCATTTTCGAAAATTATTTACGCCTATGCGTTTCTGAATATGCTCATCTGTTTACAATATTCACTTCGGTCAAAATATGCCAAAATTTATGGCTCGCGCATTACTAATCATAGTTAATTTATAAACAGATATTTTGTATATTCACAACAGCACCGTGCCAGGTGGAGAATGTGCAAATCAACACGAATGGAAGCAATGTTACCCTCAGATGGGAGACTATGCGAACACGAGTCTGCGGATTGCCAACAAGCCTCTTAGTAAATATCAATAATGCTGTGTTGCCAATACAATTGCCTGAAGCGTCTCAAAGCCTCAATTTTGAGCATTCCTTCGAATTCTGCCATAACTACACTTGGCAACTTCACTTTGAAAATTCAGCCGGTCGAATAATCTATCCTCAAAGCCTTACCACCTCCACGAAATATCCAGGTATACTATTGAATTCTACCCATTGGGAATTATGACGGCCATGATATTGATTGTATGCAACTGTTTAACTTTTTTAGATATCATGAAAACCGTGCCAACTATATTTTACAGATCGCCAAATCTTGGTGCATCGTACACCTCCCTTCATCGGTTTTGTGAATACATATATGCCTTGCAGTGGGGCGTTTTTCCATCTATTGATCAATGCGAAGTCAACCCAAAAAATTCTTTATCCGGAAACAGTAAATCACCGCTTACATTAATAATATTACTATCAATATAGAGTGAGCAAATTTTCACGTCTGATTCTTTGCAATTCTAGCTATAGAACTTCCGCCCTTGAAAGAGGGTCTTGTGTATATGTTCAGTGCACGCGTTCAGCCTCCTATTGGTCAATTCCATTGTGGAAGGACTAGTTTTGCCTCCAATTGGTCGGAAACACTTATCGTTTATACGAAAATGTGTAAGTGGCAGTAATTCTCTTATCATCCTTTGGAAGCTCAATTGTTTCCTATGGTTTTCCGATTGAGAACCTCCAATTCTAACAATCCTTTATTAACTACGCTCATTTAATACGCATTTGCAGATATCGATTTATTTACCTTTGGATAAGAGAAGCATATATTAACCAGCAGGTCTAGTTGAATTGGTGTAGAAGTACGAAGCATCGAACTATTTTTATTCTACCTTCATTGGGTTAGCCCATTTTTATTTAATTGCAATACCCATACTGTAGAATAATGAAGGGTTGTGGGAATTTCATAGGTTATTTGTTTTTTTCTGTTAGTTAAAGGAAGCAAATCGATATCCAGTGAAATTGTTATAGAATCAAAATACAGATTGGAATTCTGTGGGGATTAATTCAAAGTTGGTAACTGCATCAACATTAAATCTAGAAAAACTAACTTCGGGCTCGAATTCTTCAAATTTCACACTTCCATGCCTTCAAAAATGCAATTGATTATGTTGAAAACTATAGGCCCAACCCTTACTTCGAACAACTAACTGGAGGTATCTATTTTGCGTAATCACCTCTAGTGATCAATAATTGGTTAATTGGAGCCAAACCGTAGTACCTTCCACAACTTAAACTACTCTTATTGCAAATGAAACCCCATGAAACTTAGGTATCTCATGGCAATGAAAGGACATTTTCTGATTAATTCGTATAGGCTTTTACAAATTTAAATGAATTCCTTGAGAAAAGGAGAGCTTTGTTGCAATGGAGATTGTGGCCTGACACAGACTTCTAATCCCAGTAACTCGGAGTCTAATTAAGACAACTACATCGATAAATGTGGCATTAGATTGATGTCAGATAAATGTTGGCAATTAAATTGACATATACTACCGTTATGGTGTGTGTAGCTGTTTACAGTTGCCATGGCCTTTCCTATAATTAAGCAATGTGCGTTTACCGTGTGATCAAATATGCATGACGTGACACATCGATTCGGCTTAGAAAAGCTAATTTTTAGACTTATAGTCAGTCGATTAAAATCATGTTTATGTTGGTTTTTAGGTCTCTAGGGGTAACGTAGGCGTGCACGAACTTATCCAGATGAGTCTCAGCGAGAAATTTAAAAGTTCTTGTATGTTTATCACGTGACATTTGTTAGGCCCTCTAATCAGGAAATTAGTCATCAGAATAGTAATTTTTAAACCTCAAGTTCTCAATTTTGAAATTCATAATTTTTTGCGCGTTCAGAGATCACGGATTACGATTCTCGATAACGTCAATTTAGAGGGCGACATTCCCAACTATAATGTCAAGAGGGAGTCTAGAGTGGTTCTATTTAAAGAGATTGTAAAATTATACGCCTCTAACCAAGATGAGTATAAAAATATTCTCCTTAAAGGTGATGAGATAAGGTGTACGTGTGTGTCATAACATGAAATTTCATGATCGTCGCTGTGGTAATGAGAATGAGTGTATATCTAACATCAATTGACAACTTATTAATTTATATCAAATTGCAGTCATTTAGATAGTTATAATAAGCCCTTTAGTTGACTTCAGTCTTCATAGAGGGGAAGGAACATCAAACTGGCAAAATGTCGAGAGGGGGGACAGAATAATGATTCACAGACGTGAAAGAGATTGACAGACACAAAGGCAGTGAAAAGGTAAGGGGAAGTGGTGGAATATGACATTCAGTGGGGTCATGGTAATTTGATTCCAGAAGTCAACAGCCGGTTTAATAGACTTTTCTTGCCGTATGAGTATACGTTGTCCAGGGTCCACCATGTGGGGGTAAGTCCATCGCAGACCCAAAATCGCCAGGCTGACTCGACCGGGGACCTTCTGCGTGTAAAGCTGACGTGATGACCACTACACAACCGAGCCCCCAATTGACGACAACCCGACTTCTAAGATCATCAAGTAGGCAATAAAAATGGTGCTGTAAGAGAACGGGACTCAACAACTTGTAATTATATGTTGAATTCGTATTAATTGATGGGCAATATAAGTTGTATTTTAAATAGATGGAGCGATCTTTAGGACCTACTACAAAAAAGTACATTCATGAGGTCAGAGTATTATATTTATGTCGTAGATGCATGTTTGAGCGCGCTCTGGCCATTTTCCGCCTTAAATACTCGTCAAAGTTAAGTTTCCATTCCCCACAGAGACTTATAGGCACGACTAACCTGGTTTTTCACTGTTAGCCAAGCCCGTTTTAATCAATGGCATTTTTTATGGTCGCCATGGCGTATAAGGTTGACTTCACTAGTTTCCGCGCCTGCTGTCATGATGGGTGGCATGACAACAGGTAGATCTAATCGTATTTTACGTTCGGATCGACCCACTTTTTCAACCATACACATTTTTTCCTATTCCACTCTTCTGGTTATGAGTGTGCGCCATTTAATGGTAGTATTGATTAAATTGGCATTACAAACACTATAAAATAGCACTAAATTTGCTGTTAAGTGAGCAAGTATGATACACTCTTTTAAAGGTCAAAACTGATGAGCAGTGGAATGTAAAGAGTATGACGTAAATTCATGAAGAATTTGCTAATATCCAAAAGCGGTGCTTTGTGCCAGGCAAATCGTAATGCCATGTGTGTCACTAGTAATGACCAAGGATCATTATCTATATCTGCACAAGAGACTTTTCACAACCGGAAAATCATATACTCTCCCTCAAGTGAAACAGTCCTTTTTCTTTTGTACTTATAACTGACAAAAAAGGACAAACAAACTGCACGCATCAGAATGAAAGATAAAGTATAGATGGGGTGGGGGGAGGGAGATTGAATCGATTTTGAGAGCAAAGTCCAAATATCTCCAGAGTATAGTCAAATTTGATGTTTAGACTTTGTGTAATAAAGTTCACCTTTAAAATTCTAATTTTGTGATCTGTTCGTGTATGCCAATGACTCCTTGCTTACAGTAACCAATGCTGATTGACCTTTTTTTAATCATGAGTGTCGGTCATGCCAAGTCAATTTATCACTTTTTGCATTCTATGGATTGAGAAAATTTGGTGTCCTTATCAGGCACTAAGCGCCTCGCTTGATTTCAGCGTATTAGAATTTACATGGGTCACTAAATTTACCAAATAACGCAAATCACATTTCTTCTTAGTTAAATTGCCTAATAAACAACAAAATTATTCCGGCTATTTTCGCTTTGTTTTGTAGCCCAGAGCGAAGTTAAAACTAATAATAAAACAGTGACAGCTTATATCTCCAAAACTAAGGAGGAAGATGAGGAAAACTTCGGCTGTATGCTGCCACAAACCCCCTACTCTGGCCAAAACGAATTTCGAATCGTAGAGGACACTGGACCTATTCCAACTGAAAATACTTCTGTTTGCATAATTGTGGACTGGCAAGTCGAAACAAAGAGTGCTAGTTCTATTCTTGGCTACATTCTCGAGATCGGTCGACAAGGAAATAACAGTTGTCGAATCATCTGGATTCCCTGTGAAGATTGCTTCCAAAGTTCTAGTTTGGTATGACGGAAATCACTTAAATTGATGTCGTCAAAGTACTCTAAATTGCGTATACTTTTCCCAATCTTTTCTGACCAGCGCAATGCCATACCAGAAGTGACAGACGCCATAAATCAAATTGAATTTTCCTGTTTGGGGAGTCAATCCGGCTTCCTGAAAAACGCCGAGCGCTTAAATACGCCACTCTATAAAGGAACCACTCGCCTGCTAATGGGATTTCAAAGCACCAATCATCGGGCTGACAATTTGCATGGTGTTGTTAAAGCATATGCAGTAAAAATGGGATCAATACAACTCATAATGGAACAAACTTGGCAAACAAATGCACAAGGTAGATTCCCACCTTTTATAATTCTGTTTGGCAAAGTGTTGGAGAGGGGGGAGGGTGGAGGTGGGGTTGATTGACGCGTCTTTCATTTATATCCAGGGTTAGGTTGGGTTTGAGCCTACTCTTCTCACCCCGCCCCGCCCCGCCCCNCCCCCCCCCCCCCCCCCCCCCAGCCCCACTTTCTCACCATATTTTTCAAAACACATGGGGCTGAGGCCACGGTCTTAATGACGTCAAGGCCATTGGCTGCTACTCACATATAGGGTGAACATGGAGTTGGTATTTAACCAAAGTAGAACAAGAGATTGAGCATAGTGTCTCACAAATTAACTCGTGCTGCACTTTATTACCGTATACTGTATGATTTCTTGTTTGCCAATGATTTATGCGCTTAATTATTTTTGTTCACATATCTCCTGTTTTAATGTCAATATATTGTTATTTTACAGTTTTGCTTGCAAAAACCAAGATGCATATTGTAATTGCTGCTATACTTGGTACAATTTCAATACTTGCCATCGTTGTTCTGATTGTTGTCAAATTGAAACGTCAGGTTGTTCGGCGGGATCAATATATGTACGTTATTTTTATTTATAAATTCAACATTTATTACGATAGTTGAGATTTGGATTACACTCTCCCACCCCTCCTCACCCTCCACTACCCCCCCCCCCCCCCCCCCCCCCCCCCCCCACCTATACATTGCTCATGTTCTATTAAAGATTTATTCATTTATTTATATCAAATGGCAGGCATTTTGATGGTTATCATCAACCCTTTAGTTGACTTCAGGCTTCACAGAGGGGAGGAGGAACATCAAAATGAAGAAAAGTTGAGAGGAGGATGGGGGAACAGAAGAGTGTTTCAAAGACGAAAGTAGAAAAGGTAGAAAAAGGTGAGGTGAGTACTGTGGAAGTAGTCGAATATGACATACAGTGGGGTGATGGTTGTTTGAAGTCAGAAGCCAACTGCCGATTAAAAGACTTTTTGCCGTATGAGTACACGTTGCCCAGGGTGCACCACATGGAGGTAAGTCAATCGCACACCCATCCTACTAAAGATTGTATACGTCCATTTTTGGGCATTTGGTTCAGACATCGGAAAAATCAAACTTCCATTTTGTTGTCAGAGTCTTTGCGAGATTTGAAGAACCCAAATGGGACGCTTCAAGGCCTGGAAGAGAAAGACCTCGTCCAGTGTCTGCTTCAAGATGTGCGTTATGAGAGACATTTGATGCAGTTTTCTTCCATATTGGCATAGTTTTAAGTGCAATATATATATATATATATATATATATATATAATGGTTTCTTTGGCTTTCAGTGCACTTTCATTGCACAAATTTGAAATTGTTCAAGTTTAAAAGTGTTGAATAGTGTAGTTGCCCCATCTCCATTGCTGAAGCTACCTCACTCATCTTAGAATGACATGTTCAGCCTGAAATTGTGATCGCTCAATGTCTTGTAATTTCAACACCATTCATGATAAATTTCTGCTTTGGTATTGTTAATTATTTGAATTATGAATATTTATTTATTTATATCAAATAGCAGGCGTTCTGATAGCTATCATTAGCCCTTTAGTTGACTCCAGGCTTCACAAAGGGGAAGGAACATCAAAGTGGGAAAAAAGTCGAGAGGGGGGAGGGAACAGATGAGTGCTTCAAAGACGAATGTAGAAAAAAGATGAGGTGAGTACTGTGGAAGTAGTCGAATATGGCATACAGTGGGATTATGGCAGTTTGAAGTCAGAAGTCAACTGCCCATTGATAGACTTTTTGGCGTGTGAATATACGTTGCCCAGGGTGCACCACGTGGAGGTAAGTCTATCGCACACTCCGAATTATGAACCTAGAATGGCGTCTAAACATGTATGCAAAAATAGTTCGTACCTTTTAAGCTAAAAAGCGGAATTTCGGATTTTGATTCTGCTTTTTTTGGCGTGCCCAAGATGGCCATGGGTATTTTGCCTTCAGGCGTACCTTTTAACTTCATCGTATACAAAGTCTTTATTAACCCATAGATTGATTATATTCTTAACCGTTGTAGGAAAGAGCTAACAAGGGATGAAGTTGCGTCGGCAGTTCGAGAATCTGCCAAGAAATTTCAAAGCAAATTAGTGACGTGAGTGTCAAGTCGTTACATATACATTTATATCCGTGAAAGTTACTTTTTCAACAACATCTGAGGGCTTTTCACTTCATTTTAGGCGTCTCAAGAAGGCTCCTTCACCAATTCAACTCTCCAATTTCATTGAAACTGTAGCGAAATATGCTGAAGACGAGTATGCCATCCTTCGAGATGAATACAAGGCAAGCACTGTTGTATACTCTCTTTAATCGTAGTTAACTGATGCAAAGTGACATATTTATTTATATTAAATGGCAGGCGTTTTGATAGTTATCATTAGCCCTTTAGTTGACTTCAGACTTCACAGAGAGAAGGAACGTCAAAGTGACAAAAAGTCGAGAGGCGGGACAGAAGAGTGATTCACAGATGTAAAAGAGACAGACATAAAGGCAGAGAAAAGGTAAGATGGATACTGTTGAAGGGGTCGAATATTACAAATAGTCGGGTCATAGTAGTTTGAAGTCAGAAGTCAACTGCCGATCAATAGACCTCTTTGCCGTATAAGCATATATTGCCCAGGGTGCACCACGTGGAGGTTAGTCTGTTGCACACCTCGCAAAGTGACATATAAAGTCCCTATCGTCACGTAATATTCACTTGGCCTAGGTTCAGGTAATTCTTCCGTTTTTCCCTCACACAAATGGTCTGCCGGAAAGATAGCTCATTGGTTATAAACAATTCCCTCAGTTAAATCCTCCAAATAGCAACTCATTACAATGAATACAGTTCTAATGGTTGAATTTTGATTAGGTTAGTACATTTCTGGGGAGTCACTTTTGATATCTTAGTGAATATAGCTTCCCGACAGAGGCTGTGAAATTGAAGATCTGCCAACAAGATATTAAAGCGTTTCTTTGAAAATGAGAAGCTCAGGAGTTAGGCTGGAGCGCGCACAAGGTTCAAGGAGTACGAAAACGAATCGTCGGTGTGCGGAATGATTAGAATCCGTGAAGTAATGAGGAGGGAACGATTAGTCAATTGGCATATTTTCTGTTCTTTATTGTTATTGTGGATGCCATTGGTGGCCAATAAGATTTAAGCTACTCCTTCAAGGGGACAATTTATTTTTAACGCATTAAATAAGGTGTACAACTTAACCATGACCTTGAGTTATGTTGCTGATTAATAGATTGGTTCTTCCTTAATTAGAGCACTTGTGGTATTAAATTCAGGACAGGTAACGACTAATCGATAGCCCAGTGAACGAATGATGAATATTATGAACTCTGTTCAAGTACGCAGAAATCGTTGGAATCGGCTTTCTACCCACCAAAATATTGTCTATGCTCCCTGATTAACTATCAATTCATAGGTCGAAAATTCGAGTTATCCATCAGCAAGATAACATGAGGCTTTGCTTAAAAAATTGGCAAATATTTTGATTTATGGCATGATTAGTTCGCTCTGGCGGAGCCTAAATATACCATCTACTTAAATATTATCAGTAACATTAGTATTTCTCCCTATTTTGGATTAATTTCGGTGGTTTATATTTTTCCAGACTTGTGCGAACTACGCTGCAGCCCAACAGGAGGAAAAGGGCTTGACTATAGAGGCAGGAACACATCCACAAAATCGTTTGAGAAATCGATACAAAAATATTTGTCCTTGTAAGTTAAGGCCTTCGTTTATTCCTTTGATGATTATGTCATTCAATTATAAAATAATGACCCAGTTTTGGGTTTCGTTATTGTGCTTATATTGGTAAAGGATTACTTTATTCGACCATTGAACTTATGTTTTGAGGTTAAAAAATGATTAAATAACTTATCTATTATTCGAGTTATGTGCACTAAATGGGCAAATTTCGAGCACTTTACAAAGTACTTTTTAAATTTTGTGAAGTTTGTTTATTAGCCCTTATTATTATTACCAAATTTCCACAACAAAGAATAAATCATGATCACTGAAAGAGCTGAAAGTCATTTAATTACTGAATTCAGTTTAAAATTTGAACTCGTATATAAAATCGTTCAGGGTCAACTTTATCGGTTTAGAGCGATGCATAGCTCTATGAGCCGACTGTTCCTAGAAATGGTGAGCAATCAATAGGTGAATTTCGTTACCACGATATCATAATGGTGATCTGGGCTATAGGCGTGACTAAATAACCTAATTTTAATTTGAAAGTTCTTTAATATGATCAAAGTTATTAAAGATAAAAATAAACTTTACTATCTCAATGATGTCTGGTGCAAATAGTGCATATTACACATAGGCGTACCATATGCCTCCAATAGCTATAATATTTACCATAGTACTGGCGTGTGCGTTATTAGTCCATTTACGAGTTGACACACAATTTCGCAATTATCCTAAATTATGATTAGCCATTACTTTGATTGAGTTCCTCAATAAAATGTGTTTACTAGTCTCATTCACCTTCTCCAATTAGTTGCCAGACTATAAGTGTTCCATGCATTGAGTAAGAATGAAACTCCACGAATCATTGAAAGAAATTTATTTATATCAAATGGCAGGCGTTTTGATATTTATCATTAGCCCTAGAGCTGACTTCGGGGCTACACAGAGAGGAGGAGGAGGAACGTCAAAGTGACAAAAATCGAGAGAGGGAATAGAATAGTGATACACAGGTGTAAAAGAGACAGACAGACAGACACAAAGGCATAAAACAGGTAAGATGTGTACTGTGGAAGGGGTCGAATAGGACAAATAGTCGGGCCATAGTAGTTTGAAGTCAGAAGTCAACTGCCGGTTTGATAGACTTTTCGCCGTATAAGTATACGTTGCTCAAGGTGCACCACGTGGAGGTAAGTCTGTTGCGCACCCCCCATTGAAAGAAATTGAGTCATCGAAGTAGTAAGATTGACCAATTTGCACATTTTACAGGTCTGAAGGCATTCTAAATCGTGGGCAGAAACTTGATCAGCTATAAAACACAAAGCAGTGAACTACCGCTTTATTTGCTCGACTTTACTTATTTTCTGGAGTAGTATTGTTATCATTATAAAATAATATGGAGAAAATGATTTCATGGCGAGAATTGACTACATTTGGATGAAGCGGAGGTGTTCTACTTTTGTTTGAATCAATATTGCACGCTCTGCATTCTCCGATTGAAATCCAATTGGTTATTACTTATTACAATCGATTTTAAAATGCTGTCAGTAACGTTGCTCTTTTGTTAAGATGACCAAAATCGCTTGCATCTGCACAAAGAATATGCTCTACAGGACCTCTACCCTGGAGCGATAAATATTCCAAATGTTGAACCTCTTGGGCTGATCGCCATGTCGGACTACGTCAATGCCAGTGTGATCCCCTCCTCACCACCTCATCATCAGATCTTCCCCATGACTGGCAAGAGTGCCTCCAATGGTCCAAGTGTCTACATTGCTGCTCAAGCCCCCAAAACACATGCTGTCGGACTTTTCTGGCAAGCGATATGGGACTCGGAGGTGCGAATCATTGTGATGCTCACGAGGTATTGCTTGCATATTAAAACCCCGCGAAGAAATTGTTTATAATTGTCGGTAGCTTTGATTTTGTTAATTGGGATATAAGTCGAGTCACTGATTTCCACCTCTTCACTAACAAATTAGTTTAGCTTTCAATTGTTTTCTCCATTGGTGGACAACCGTTTTCACCTATAATAGACAAAGTTCTGCCAACTTATTTTACTCTGACAAATTTAAGTTTGTTGGAAGGGAGGTCTAAACAGCGCTTATTAAAGTGCCTATTGCAGTTTAGAAGGACTAACTGGAGAGACTATACAAGCGTGTAAGACAATAGAAGTGAAAATTGGCAGTCGTCTTAGCACTAACAACGTTAAAATCATTCCCATTAATCTGTGCTTGAATAATTTTTCTTTCGATTCTTCCATATTGTTATAAATAGTCCAATCGGCTTAGAGACAGACATGACCCTATTGACTGACATAATTTGTATAAAAATCTGCTTCCAGTTCGTCAGCAACACCACCGAATTTCAGTTTGCTCCCTTTGGGGACTTACATCTACGCCTTCGATCTGGAGAAATCATCTTCTTAGAATCTTTTTCTATTGTCTTTTGTCTATTTTGAAGTTCATAAAATAAGAGAATATTCTCCTTCCATACGTTTAGTGGATCATATGTCGTGTTCTCTTTTAGCACATTTATTGCTACAAGTTTAAGGGAAAAGATTGGAATTGGCTATGAATTTAAGATGCTTGAGTAAGATGGAGGAAAGGTCAACTTTGACAAAAGCACTACCGAAGGGTGGGTATTGGTTAAATGGGAAAACTAATAGACCGCTTAAAATCTGGATGAGGAGGGGGAGGGGGGGAGAGAGGGGCTAAAAGCAGGAAGATGTAAAAAAATTCCACTGACTAGTACCATTTTCATGAATCTGTTGCTTTCGAAATTGGATATGCATTGAATTCATTTTTATATATCGTGGTATTCTTATAGATTATAGGTCTGAGTCTACCTCTCTCTCTCACAATCTCTTATTTCAGATTAAACGAGAGAGACAAGGAAAAGTGCTGCCCCTATTGGCCTCGAAAGCAAAGCAAAGATAACGAAAACGCGAGTGAAACCGACAACAATGTACTTTGTTCCGAAATTTACGGGAACATTTCGGTGACATTACAAAGTTCTGAATCTGGAATCTGCTACATTCGCCGTGTTCTTACTATTCGCAATACGGTAAGGTGACAATTGAAATCTCACTAATAAGGAGAGTAGCAGACCAATGGAGAGTAAACATCAGTTCTTTTTCACATTTTGAGGTCATCTAATAATATGCGGTCATTAAGTAGTTTTCAGTTTTCAAAATCTGAATAATTAGTTGTGTCTAGACTGTTAATAGCTTGTTCGTTCATTCAAGAGTAGAGGTGAGATGCTTGTCATGTGAGACCAAATGCACGTATTGTAGAGGGGGGGGGGAGG